GAAAGGCATAGTGCCGTTTTAAATATTTCATTTTAGCGGCTCGTTACCTGAGGAAATCAAATTTGCTTCACATTCGGGTCTTCATCGTGCTGCTTCTGATTCCCAGCTGATGCATTCGTCGAGCCATAGCCGAATTTGTCTGGAACGTGGAAACGGTAATTTGGTAAGTTACGATTATTTTTAATACTTAATTTTAACTCGTAACTTGTAATGTGATTGTTATAAGTTCTTGAGTTAGGCGTGATTAATAGTCGGAATCTCCAGTTGTGTAACGGCAAATTTTTTCACTTACTTCAACCGCAGCTATGGCTTCCTGCAGGCCACTCTGGCGTTCGTTTCGTCTCTTGAAGAGATTACGAGATCAGCTGTTTTTCTGTCAAACGACCTCAGACAAAGCTCTAGTCATTTCGACTGAATGTGTTTACCTTATGTTGTGTATACACGGTCCCGAATGTTGCCATTTCTAGACGAAGGAGAGATGAAATCTGCTTTTTTTTATTGCCCGCAATCTGAAATTCCGCTTTATTCGGTCTCCATTATGTATAATTGTTTCCGTTCTTTGCATTGCTGCAGCCTTGAAAAGTTCCGAAGCTGAAGCTTGTCTGGCTTGAGTCTGGGGCTAAAAATTGGATTGGAGGCTCGGAATTCGTTTGTTTTGAGCCCAAACTAAGCTGTGAACTCAGGCGCATTATCAAACAATCGGGGTAAAGCGAGAAAATAAAGTAAGTATAGCAGCACTTCATCATATTCTAGCAAACAACATGCTGTCAGTCAGTGGAGAATCTTGCGATTTTGGCTGGAGATGAAACGGGCGAAAAGGATCCGGAGGTTGCGGATTTGTTGGGTTTTGCTCGGGCAGTTGTCCATTCAGTACAGTCCTTTCCAACAGAACAGCGACCGCTTGTACGACTGGCGATTATGGAATGTATTGCCGATATGCGAAAGACATTTACTTTCGATCAGGCCGCACTAGGAGAAGCCGATAATGTTGTGGTTGATGATGATGATGATGATGATGTGCTAATTTCCGAATGAATTTTATCCTTTTACCTATTCAGATGATTTTTAAAATCAATGATTTCATCCTTTTTTTTGAGGGGACTAACCTT